TCGGTCCTACTTGTTTTCCTTCTCATGGAAGCTTTGCAGTAAACCTTTCCATAACACGTGGAAGCACTGAAGTTATTTTAGCATTCTGTGGTATCCTGTCAGTAACCGCTTTGATCAAACGGTGGCCCCGAAATCGAGTTCTACTTTTCTCAACGGTAGTGTTTAGAAAATGCTGGTTACGTTCCCCTCAAAAATGCGAATTATGTTTCGGATTACAACTTTAATATGATGTTTTTTCTGTTGGCAAATATTCGTGTTCAGAGGGTGGCTTCAGTGTACTCCAGGAAACCCAAGTAGTTTCCATGTATTGCGGCTGAAAATATCCACCTGGTACTTGCAAGAGCCATATAGGGAAGTAGTATCGGCAGAACACGATATCCATTCGGAGAGAGAGGATTGGTGGGAGAATTAGTTGTTCATATAGTATTCCCTTTAGGCGTCGTGCAGTCACGAAGGAGATGGGTCATGGTTATATCTTTGCTATCGTTAAAGGAAAGCTTCGAGTTAATGCTTTCAACAGGAACATCTTCTGAAAGTATGTTCGCCCAATTACGCACCAGTGGATTTTTTTTTTGAAGACCCTCTGGGCGCTTGAATTCAATTTCCGACGGTTGTTCGGCGCACACTGAAACGAGCTCTGTAAATAAGAAGAGTTACGCTTGAGAGCACTAGAGAACTATGACGCGAACTGGAGACTCTAAAGTTTAACTGGGCTTCCCCCGAAAATGTAACACTTTAGTACTAGCCGTGTTTTTTCTTCTGGTTCTTTCTGCTAAATAGCAAATCAAAAGCATAAACAATAATCAAAATTCGTACGTTTGACTGCTATTACCATGACTGCAGTAATGCCTGAATAGGATTATTAGTAAACTTGAAGAAGTCACGGACAGTAGGCAATCCTCAAGAAAACTATAAATACTCTCTGACGCTATGCTGCCTTTTATAGAGAAGGTAGAGCAGAACTGGGGATGAAGGCAGTTTCAGCGTCGTGACTATAAAAGTGGATTGCAGTGGGCAGGCTCCTTAGGACGAGCGTAATTTCTACCTGCTCTAGGAAACGAGCAGGTATCGGACTAATACAGTGGCTTTGGTTGTTACCGCACATATTTCAACGAAAGGCCTCTGAAAGTTTTTCTCAGAATACCGAAATTGCATAGCCCTCATGGAGGGGAGCAAAGTATTATAAGATCTATTGGAAATGGAAGATTCGAGCTCCCTCATCGAGTTTCCCTTGCCCTCCGTTGAGCTGTTGAGCTGGCCCGAATTGTTTTTGCTGGATAATCGATTCCAGGGCTTCATGAAGTCTCTTTATTTCACTGGATTTTTTTCGAAACCGTGAATTTTTCTTCAATTTGTCCGAAGTGTTGGAGTATCGTAAACTCATGGTCGGGCTCAACTGGCCGATACCAAAACGCCGTGGGAATCCATACTAGAAAAACTCCTGAGTGCAAATCTCATGTCAAAATTTCGGGAATGGGAACTAGTTAATGAGGACATATTCAGGTCGCGGAATCGCAACCTTACCTTTCATTAAGTCCTTATCGACTTTAGTTCATTCTCTAAGTGTAAAACTTGAACTTTTAAGAGGTTCTGGCATAGAAATGTCTTCGCCTGGTTGTCTGAATCAAATTTGCATTTTCGAGTAGCTTTCTTCGTCGATTCTGTTCGTTGCGTCCTTCGTTTGCGAGATTTGAAGCAGTCAAGAGTAGATTTCAGTTTTATACGAAAACTTTTTAACTTGTCTAAGACGACTCGATTATTTACGCAGTATTTTGTTGAATGCGCTTATTGGAATGTAGTTTTAATTAACATGACCTTTTTATCATTACTACCCTAACTGAATTATATTTCCCCAAACTGGCATTATGGAAAAGTTCTTCAACAGTTCCTTCCCCCAGAGGAAAGTTAAAAAGGATGTCAGTAGAAGTACAGGAAATATGTAACGAAATTAGACTTGGTAGAGCTGAATGAGAAGAACTTCAAGGACTTCGCTAAGCACGTTTCACGTGAAGTTTTCAAGCATAAATCCCAATTTTGCCCAGAATTTATCACGGCTCAATAGCTAAGGCAAGTAATGTGGCCATATTGACACTCTGCCATGCGATGTCCGAAACTTTTGGGTATTTCTTCGGGAACTGGTAACTTTGGTCGATAGACCAGGGAAGTTGCCGTTTTTCAAAGTGTTTTTTTTTCTCTGATTCCACTTCGTCGTTTCAACCTTATGTGGTGCACATTAGCTACGACGGTCCTCCGTGGTGGGGAGGGGAAATTCTCAGGAATAATTTGATTCCTTTTTGTTTAGTTCTCCTCGCTCTTCTAGAAATTCATTAAGGTCCTTGTTCCTTTACCCTTGTATCTCTTTAAGTCTTCTCTTTTCTTTTTTCTATTGAGTTTCATATTTTGTTTAGAGTGTTGGATCCGAATCAAACAACATCTTGTAGACTTTTTCGAGAAGGAAATATTCTGAGATATGAATAAGATTTATCATTTTCAAAAAATTTCAAAATTTGAAAAAATTTGATAGTGTAAAAATGAGTTGTGATTACTGAGAGTTTACGATTGTTTTTTTTTGCGTAGGATCGGCTTTTTCAATAAGAGTTTTGTCCGATTCGGCTGTCCGAAGTCTGACCAGAATCAGCCCGTTGACGTTCTTTGATGGGCATTTTCCTGGATGGCGATTGAATCAAGCTGGTGATTGTCGGGCAGAAAAGCTTTTAGTTCGAATAAGGTGAAGGCGTTGCTTAGAAGGGAATTCCAAAAAGTTGCACTCCATTCTCTCTTTGCTTTTTTAGCCAATGATACCTGCTTTTCATTGTTTTCTGTTAGTCCTTTGTAGAAATAGTTGCTAAGTAAGTAATTACTCGTCTTCAACTCCTTCTTTGAGGAGGTTCTCGAGGAGGGAAAGGTTTCAGTTCAAAGAAATCCTGAGTCTAGTTCTGACCTACAGAAGTGTTTTAATCTCTGGTTGTCTGCTTATTTTGAAAGACTTGAAACGCAAGAAGGGGATCGGTTTCTCAATATTTTCAGGATACGATAATGGTATACTTCCGCCTTATGAAGTTTTTAAAAAACTATTAATTGATTCAAATGATCCATGCGGGAGCAGTGGTTACATGTTTGTTTATTTTTTTTCGGCTGGTACCGATGGCTGGTTATTTACAGCACCTTTTGAAAACTTTTACTTTCCAATTCAATCGCCAAAATCGTTGTTTCACTCTGTTTCCCGTAGTGTTTTCACTCTTGTTGAATGGAATCAAAACATAGGCAAGTTGTTATGCGGGTCCAGCAAGAAGTCAAATACGCGTGATTTTAAAACGGAGTCAAATTCAAAATGTCAAAAACTTATTCTTATCATTTTCAAAAAAAAAACACTTTTTTCTTTGGGTGAATGCAAGACCGTTTGTCGTATCAGGCGCACTACCTGTTTAATTTGCATCTGCTTCTAACGTTTCCCTAGTAATAGTTTTTCCTTACGAAATGACAACATTCCATGGTTATATTTCGTGTCATTCGAATTTTTCTCAGGCATAGATGGCGTGTTTCTGCGATCGGTTTTCTATGAAATTTGTTCAGTGTCTGTCGCTACATTTGATCATAAGTAGTGCTCTCAAGGCCATTTTCGCATTAGTTGGACGTAATAGGGCGCTGTAGAATGAAAAACAAAGTTTTATAACCTCATCTAGGCTCATCTGCCTCTCTCCTCCAGTACAAGTTAATTGAAAACATATGGTCATAAAATCATCGTAAATGAGATACATCACGGTCGTCAGTGGGACAATGCCCGAAAACAAGTATTTTTGAAGGTTAGACGATTTCTAGTCTTCACCCAGGGTCAATAAGCGGTGAAGTATATGTTCGATCCTGAAAACAAGTTGTGTGCATGGCGTAAACCAGAAGAGCTAATCGTTCATGTTACTCTTCATATAGTTCATCGTTTCGCAATTTCCTCTCGAGGCCTTCCTTACACTTTTTCACAAGTAATTATGTATTCTCTTGGAAATGATTTCCTAGTTGCTTTTCATTCAACCAAAGATGTAGCCCCGTTACCTTCGGAGATAATTGGCGTCGACTTTCGATTTGTTTGCTCTTTCGCGCAGTTGTGACGAGCAGCCCTTCGAGACGGGCCACTGCCACCCTAACTGTCTATCGGATTCCTCTTTTCATTAGTAAAACAAACATTGGCCGTTCTGGGACTTCCCACGCTGACAAAGCCGTCATTTGTATACACTCGGACGAAGTGGTCCCAATTTGATGACAAAGCCGTCATTTGTATACACTCGGACGAAGTGGTCCCAATTTGACTGGGGCTGTTATGTATCTTGCAGCCTTCCTAGTTCAGAGACACTTTCGAGGAGCTTTCTCTGGAAGAATCTTGAGAGATCGAATTTGTCTTGCCACTGAAAGCTAAAATTCTCAGTACACTTGATTTTTTCCCCTACTTCCTACGAAGTGCGTTTCACTGGTACACTTGTATGTGTTGAGTGCACTCATCTGGCGTCGTCCCTTGATGCCCTTCAGATTTTTGCCCATCAGATTGTGAGCCCATGCATCTGCTCAGAGTTGCTTTGCAGTTTATAGTGTCCCCGTGGGTAGTATACATAATAGGCAAGAGTCTTAAGTGAATGTATTCATATGTGACATTGAGAAAGTCAGTCCATTTTTTGTACTCTTTACACAAACACTATTTCTATTTAGAATAGTATAAGCAGTTTTTCATATTTGAAGGCCCGGCGATCTCTAAGTCACCGTTGCTATCCTTTTAGCCTTACTTGGTAGATTTTTGAGGCCTAGCTATTTCTTGCCCATGAGACGTTAATTTTTGTGTAACCGAAAAAATCGAACACCAAACTAGCTCCGAAAGAGGAAATAGCGAAATAGGTTCCTGAAGAGTTTCATTGCTGAACAGCATATGGGAGTTTTGCTGGTAGACTAGCTCTAGATTAGCTCAAAGGTACTGCTAGCCAGGGAGCTACTGTCTCTACAGTCTACGCTACCGCGGAATGGGGTTTTTAGATATTCGTCTTTCTACATTTATAGTTTTCTTTCTACGTCTTTCTTTCTACACAAAGGTACTGCTAGCCAGGGAGCTACTGTCTCTACAGTTCACGCCGAAAAAGCTGAGCCTTCACCTTGATTCTTGTTCATTATTTCTCCGCGGAATGGGGTTTTTAGATATTCGTCTTTCTACATTTATAGTTTTAGGTCAGAGCTGCATTTAATATTTTTTACATATTTTTCTGTAACTCCATGAATTTTGACTTCAGATAACGAATGTGGAACACTATCTGCCTGTTCTGAAAACATTGGCTACGGATATTGTTCAAGTTTGTGAACGTATTGACGCATTACGGAAACGACTTGCAGCTCTGAAGGAGTTCGAGCAGGTATGTATGTAAGCGTTCTTAGAGTAAGAAGAATTTTTTAAGGACCCTTTCACCACTATTTTCTGCTGAGTATTATTCTTACCCTATCGGAATCCGCTAGTTTTTATTCTCTACCGTAGTTCTGCAGTGGTTGTTATAAACGAGTAGAAGTCGCCGCCTGTGGCTACCTCTGCTCCTAATGGGAGACTCCTGGTAATAAACACTTCCTGGNTGAGAACATTGGCTACGGATATTGTTCAAGTTTGTGAACGTATTGACGCATTACGGAAACGACTTGCAGCTCTGAAGGAGTTCGAGCAGGTATGTATGTAAGCGTTCTTAGAGTAAGAAGAATTTTTTGAGGACCCTTTTACCACTATTTTCTGCTGAGTATTATTCTTACCCTATTGGAATCCGCTACTTTTTATTCTCTACCGCAGTTCTGCAGAGGTTGTTATAAACGAGTAGAAGTCGCCGTCTGTGACTACCTCTGCTCGTAATGGGAGACTCCTGGTAATAAACACTTCCTGGGATTGATATGTTTTTTTTTTCGTTCTTTGCTGCATAAGTAGAAGGACCTTTCTTGCAACGGTTCTTTTTCACTTCCGAGGAGAACAACTTATGCCGAACACATCCATAAATCGTGCTATTACCATTGATGATAATTGCTTTCCGGGGGCTAGCACCGTATCTCATTTTGTCAGTCAATTCAGTTTTACCTAATTACCAGAATTGTTATTGTGGATAGCACACTTCCTGCTGTTTTCTATTTTATTTCGTACGAATTTGTCAGTTTTCGCTTTCGGTGGGCGTGGTTCCTTGCAGAATTCGAGTAAATGACCTTAGCTTATCCCGATAAACTTACCCTCTTTTGTTCTGGGTGCAGCTGTGTCCTCGGTGATGCTACCTATATGTTCCAGCAGTTTTATGTAGGGTCCACTTGAAGAATGTCTGGTAGATGCAACGCAGCATCGAAATTCCCAAGTGAATCATGCGACAGAAACTCTACTGTCCCCTCTGAGATTTGCTTTTTTTAATATTTCCCAAATCGCCGTTTGAGACGATTTCAAGGCCTGCTATTTATGACATCGAGTCCGACAAACTTTTCTTTGATGGGAATTGCCATAGAAAATGCTGGCCCTCTCTCTTCGTGATGTTCTAAGCTGCCAAGATGCCTATCTGAGTGCCCATAACAAGCTCATCTCACCCCAACTACATTTCTTCTGCAGCTTCGGCCATCGTCGTGGTTGATGCGTGCTTGTACTTCTCTCACAGGGCTCCTAGGCGAATTATTCACTGGCGAACAACCACTCGATTTTCCTATTGTTTTCTGAGGCGTTATGTCTCATTTGTATGGGATGATCTTGCTCATTTTTTGTTTATCAACTATTGCCTGTAGCTCTTCGCTTTGCCATGGTGGTAGGGTTCCGAACTAAATGGCTGAGACATGGCTAGAAATAAGTATCCCGATGAAATGGCACAGCAGGACTTTGAAAAGTCCTAGAAAATTGGTTTTTTTAGGCTGTTGTAAAAGGTTATGTAGGACTTAATAACTTGCTGCCGTGACCTGAATTTCATTTACGAGATACAGTAGCGCTCAGAAGTCTGCGGCCAAAGGCTTCTTCAGTTGTACTTTTCCGTCGTAACTTCTTTCTTATTGGATCTAATCATGCGAATTTTCAATATGTGTAGCATGGATGTATTGTGAATATTTACCACTATCAACCTGCAATATGATTGCGGTCCAGATATACCAAAGGGCTTGAACTCAAAATCAACTGGGAATATAAATGATGGTCCTCTTGAATCTCTTTCCTTTTTGTCATGTCTAAAGTGTACGAGCGGTAATGCCGAACACAATAGATGAGAAAAACGCACGTAAGATGTGATAACTGCAGACGTTACTAACTTTGCTTCTAGTGAATTCTGCTACCGCAACGAACATCTTACTCCAGTTATATGTATGCTGTTGTTTTTCACCAAGAAAAAAGTTATGAACTAAAAAGGATAAGAGCATTTGGCCGAAGACTTTTGATCGCTACTGTAAATTGGTTCTGAAAGGTTTAAATGACTAATAGAACCACATATTTCTGCAATATCGATGATCAGGCTGTCAAAACTGTCAAGTAAATGATTGTATGGGTAAACAAAAGGCGAATGAATTATCATGATTCACATGAACATGGCGTAGCGACGAAAGCGCTCTTCATGAAAAAAAGCGTTCCTAATATCAACCTCAACTGCGGAAGAATTAATGTCAGAACGAAAGATAACAGCGCCGAAGATTCAGAAAGATAGATGAGGGGGGTTAGGAAGCTCGTCGTCAAAGAAACGCGACATACATGGTCTCCTGCAGTTGTTATGAGTGGTCAAAGACGTTCCTAGGCTTCAGTCCGTTCGGTAGGGCTCAGTCACGATTGATCCTGTTTTCCGAGAACTCAGCCCAGTCCACTTAACGTCATGGACATCGCTGAGACAGAAGCCCAATTCTATTTTCCACTAATTTACGTGCCCCAAGATGCTATCCATAGACACGGTTCGAAGGCGAAATCTCAGAGGATTTCTTGGAATGCCTAGTGATGTGATGAAGTCTGCGATGGATGGACGTTCTCCTCAAGTTCCCTACCCTCCATTTGTGGCAATTTGGGATGTCCGTCGTCTTTTTAAAGGCTCATGCCCAGCTCTGAATGCATAATATAAATTATGTGGCTTTTTTATAATACAAAATTAGCTATTTGAACATTAACTGTTTAATACAAAATTAATAACCTTCGACAGCTACCTAGATAAGGAAAGACACCCTTGTATTCAATATTATCAATTAATTGTGTTTGTGATCGGTCATTTTTAAAGCGCTGTGAGTCTCTGGAAGTTGATTTAACCTTTCGTCTTTCAAATTACTTTGTGTCCAAAAAGGTTCCTTTCAAAGTAAAGTCACAATGGATATCATGAGTGCACAAATTGTGGGTTGGCTTAGTTGTCCGGAGGCACGACCTGTTCCGCTTTTATTGTAATTTCCCTACTCATAGGAAAGGCCCATCAAGCCATTAAAATCTTTTTGGAACAACCTTCTCAGAAGTACACACGGGAGCGTGAATGGGACTTTCTCAGTGTTGTAGTTTTTTATGCAAAACCGGTATCGAGTTTCCGTGATGTTTATTGAGAAGTGCATCTGTAGTATTTCTGAACTGCTGCGTAAATGCTCGTTGTCAAAGGGGTTGACATTGATCATACGGCAACGACAGCGAGAAATGAATATACACAATCAAGCTGAGCACTTTCTTCGAGTGTACGGTGATTGTAAGATAAAATGAACATATTCATTCTACCTTCTGTGAGTTGTTACCACCTTTCTCGGAATTTCATCTCGTTTTCGTGAACAGTCAATCTCTCATTCCACCCTCAGAATGAAGTTCTTTCTTTCGCAACGCAGTCCTGAGCGTGCACGAGTTCTTGAGCTTTGAATAAGTTGAGTTTTCTAGGACATTTGAGGTAGAATTTTCAATTCTTAGAGAAGGTAGAAATTCTACCCGACATCCATCCTTAGCAGAAGCTCTGCTTTTTAATTTCGCCTCCTCTGCTCTGTTTTTTGATTCTTTTGTTTTCGCACTTCCATCGTTGAAGCATTTCGATGGTTTCTTGTCTTTCTAAAAGTTCATCAGCGATTTTTTCAGGAAATTCATCCTAATCGAAGCAATCTACACAGATGTTCCGTCTTTTAGAGAGTAGTACTCATATAAATCCCTTCTCCTACTAAATTTCTCTTCCTCACCTTACTAACTTTCCGAACAGCTTGTTTTCTGACTCTTACATCCTTTCTTTGGTTTGAAATCTCAGGAATCGGTGGCTCAGTGTGTCTGTTTATGAGATCGATGAATGAGCCCCTCAGAACCCCTTTACCATTCATTCCACTTATTCAAAATTCACCATACGTGCGTGTTAATAATTAAGTGTGGTCGTGCACGATCGAGGAGGGAAAGCTTCCGCGTTCAAGTCCGGTTGAGGGTTGATGTCGTTTTGAATATTCAGGTAGATTCTAGTTTGTGTCTGAACCAAGCGAGGGAGTTGGCTAGATTAACCGCTCCGCTCCTAAGAAATGTCTACCTCAAGAAGGGCATAGCCTCATCGAGTGTTTTCCCTCTTTTTCGTCATCAGTTTTTCTGGAACGTCAATCAGCAAACTGCTTCTGTTTGGATGTTGGGCCTTGTCTCGACAAATTAGTTTATCCTGAAAAATGCCATTAAGTGTTCGGATCGGCAATGAGTTTTTTCTTTGTGGCTATTTCGGGGCATTCGAATTGAAAGGCGTCGTGTCGTGGATAATGAATTAAATTTACGTGATGGGAAAAAGGCGTGAATGTTACCTGGTGCACGAGGTGGAGATAAAGTGCAGATTGTCTTGAATGAACTTCATATCGTGCCGGAAACATTTTAACGTTACTATTTCTAAGAATCTGCCGATTAGTGCAACTTGTTTTCAGCAGATGAAAATATAGAAGTACAGGTGTTTCCTTTAAATTAAAGTCGGAATGAAAAATCTGTTTTCACTCGCTTTCTAGCTTCCTGTCGAAGTTCAGGCAATGTTCATAGCTCCTACTTGACGTGGGTTGAAAACGTCCGATGATCCTTGTCGCTTCATGCATCAGTGCAGCTCCTCACGATTGTTCATCTTCGGTTCATCTCACTTTTGCTTGACTTGTTCCAGAACATTGTGAGCGATTGAGTTAGCGTTCAGAGCTTATAGCAATTGAATGGCGCTCGTCGGACGAGTAACATTTTTTTTTACTNTCTTTCGAAAGATTTTTTTTTTTGGATTTAGGTCTCAGAAGTTTCTGAACTACCCAAGTCGTTACACAGCGAGGCTCTTGGATACAGCCACTTGAACTACTGAATTAAAAATTTATCTTTCACTTTTTTCTTCCAAGTTTTCAAACAGAAGCTGGAGCTGTCTTCCGAAAGAAATCCTGTCTGGGAATTCAGTGTGTATTCATCAACATCTGCTTTTTTTCAAAAATTCTTTATTATTAATTTGCAATTGACAAACAATCAGATGTGTCCTGAACTGCAAACTTTCTGGGGAAAAACGATACAGTCGCTCGTGTTGTAAGAAAATCGAAAAATCGCTGATTTTCAGTGGCTAAGTGTCAAACGTTAAAATTTATTTTTAGAATCATAATTTATTTGATGTTGACGTCTAGGGTCCGTTGCTATGAAATAACACTTAGATATTCGTTATGGCCTTCGACACAGCCTAGCAGCTCGTGGCCTCTCTTTGCAGTTTTCCTTGATGTTGATGATTAAAGATGAAATTTCGTCCAGTTTGTGAAATTGGAAAGCTGCCAAAATTGCACTTCGATTTAACAATATTATTTGAAACTGGGGGACCTTTGGTCACAAAATAAACTTGAAGTCCTGGTGGTGTAAGGAACATATACCGATCGATCCGGTCAGACCTATTTCCAGCCCAATCATTCCATTGCCTCGGGATTTTGTGGTTGGGTTTTCTTAGAGTCGATCGGTAAAAAAGTTACTGATCGGTACGGTACCCTCACCCAAATTACTCCAATTGTATGGAAAAAATTCGCAGTCGATTGGTTTTACATAGGGTTGTTTTTATGAGTGGCACTTCTGCTGTCATGCAACAATATCTGTTTGCAAACGGGAAAAATGGGACAGTATTGGCCGCGAAACTTTGTCATTTGGAGGGGCACAGAACTGGAAGCAGTACACATTCATCGAGATCTCTCGCTCACTATAGTTTGCTCTATCCTCTTTTACACTTCTTGCTCACTTCCTTACTTCTATGGGCTTCTCATCGAGTTTGTGCTGAATCTTACGTCCACTCTCTTATGCTGGAAATCGAATGTAATGCCACACTCTTAGCATTTATCCGTTTTGAACTTCCAATTATGTTTTTGCCATACTCATCCCTCCTAGTCTATTTTTTATTCAGGGATTTCAGCATTTCATAATTTGTTTTCAGAGTTGATGTCTCCGTTGGATTCAGATGTGATGCAATCATTGTTGGTGCTGTTTTCATTTTTGTTTGTACGGTCCTCTTCTCTTTTATGTAATCAATGCGGAGGTGAACGATACAGTGGTGGTTTACGGTGGGTAGACTGCTTTAGTCTTAGACTCTTTCCTTTTCCAAACAAAATTACTGTAGTAAATTTGAAAAGTAGATCGAAATTCAGTCGTTTGCCTGTTTCTTGAATTGCTCGCTTTCACTGTGTGCCTTCAGAAACGGTCAAGAATTGTTTGCTCTTAAAATGACTTACACATCAACTTGCGGGTATTTTTCTTGGCATTGATTTCATCGATAGATTTTTGAACTACAGGCTTTCAACTCTCCAAATCACTGGATTAATAAAAATTGCCTGAAATCTTTCGAAAATCGATGATATTGAGGTATTCCAATTTTCTATTCATTTTCAGGTTACTGCGTGGTATGTGTTGTAACGTGAGTACAGTTGAATGTGCCGCTGGATTGATATGTCTTCGTGCTATGGTTGTATCACCTCGAAGAAGTTTTATATTATCAGGATGCCATATTCCAGAGGACGGGTTGATAGGTTGGTTTTTTGTTTTGGCCCTCATCAGCGACTTCTAATGGTAGGAGATGTGATGGAATGGTTCGAGTTTGTGAGTGTGTTTTGAATTCGCCATGCATTTTGTTTTCATTTGGAATTCATTCGTAGAGGGGCCAGAGTATGTAGTCTGATATTTCTGACTTATACGCTGGCTCACCCAAGCCACTTTATGATCTTCGTTCTTCCGAACAAGCAAAGCACCGCTGTGCCATAGCGCTGTGAACCCATGCGCGATTTCTTAGGCCACGCAAGTGTCGGCCACCCCGTTCTGTACTGCTCTGAAAGGAGCGAGTTACTGTAAGGGATAATTTCCTATATGGTAGCCCCCCCCCCTTCAATTGAAAAATCGCTCTCGAGCTCACCAAGTCTGTTCTAAACCCGTTCGCTTCTTTCCCGGAATGAACAAGGTTCTCTAGTCAAAGTTCTCTGTGATGTATCACTTACATCATGCTTAAGCAAACTTCGCGAAACTGTTCTCAACGAGTGTCGTTTTTAAGAAACTCTTCTTTCAAATAAACAAAGCAATCGGACACCTGATACAAAACTAGTTTTTGAAGCTACATCTTCACTTTGAGCGAAGACCAAATGCAAAGAAGCATTTCGATTGAAGAAATTTCAAGAAAGATATTTTCAAAGAAGTTTTGTCAGCATTTGTACTTCGATTTTTCATGCCCAATACCGCATAGGTTTCTTAGTGTACTAATTTGCATAACAGTCCATTGTCAGATCAGAAACCCTGGTAAGAAAAGCTCGATTTCTTCCGGAACGAAGGGTGTCAGTTCTAAATCACACATCTCCCTGTTGACTTGAAGGACCTATTCACTTGCTAAGAATGGATGGGTGAAGCGCAGAACTATCCAAGAGCCCCAACCCTCCCATCACTTGCCTGTCATAAGTCAGGTTTGCTATAATTATTTTATCGTGGTTCAAACGAGTAATGGCGGATTGCGAAATCCGTAGAGTGTTGAAGTTCTCAAATTCCTTCAAAACTAGCTGATTTGATTGAAATATGGGGATGTACAGCTAGTTTATCAAAAAAACCTTTTCTTCCAGGTTGCGATTTTCATCATCTTCCACATAATGCAACGATCCATCGGTGCGTCTGTCTAGATCAGACGTGCCAGTCATATTTTCCGATGGGCAACTGTTCCTTATCGACGTCGTCGCCTGCGACGACTACCATGGAATCTCGTCCAAATCAACTTCATCGAAAGTCTCATGCACTTAATGCGGCCACCACAATACAAACAGAAACCACTACCTCTATTACGGCTCTGACTACCTCATCTCCCCAACTCGCCCCTAAAGTTTCTTATCATGCCGAGCGCACCGTTCCAATTAGTTACAGTAGTTCGCAGGCTTCATGGCGATTTTCTCTTGTCGTTAGCTCTATTCTAGTAGTTTTAAATGCTCTCAATCGATTATCAAACTGATTTTGTAAACAACGACAACAGTGGGAGGCTTTGATCGTGTCGGAGATTAGAACGTTTCTTTCATGCCTTTTCATTTTAGTTCCCATTTTTTGCGTTGTATTGAAAGTATTCTGAAGTAGACTCTCATTGAACTTATCTACGGGTATGTTTTCAGAAGTGCTTATTTATTATTCAGAGGACGCTTGCTGTTGTAAAAAATTGTCATTATAGTAAATTTTTTTTGTCATTTTTCCTTGTACGTGTTAGGGAATGATCGATTCCGACAAGTGCTGCTAAACTTTGCCTTAAGGCTGATTCAATTATGGCTCAAAATTAGCTCGGCCTGTGATAGCTGGTGCCAGTCAAGGGATCGATTTCCGCGTACCTCAACCAGACCTCTTTAGTTCCCTAGTCAAGAGATTCCAACCTAAAAATCTGAGTGCATATTCAACGTACCTTCCAATTCCTGATAGAAGTCACGTACGTGGCAGCTATTCGAGGTTCCGTCGAAAGCGGTCTCTCTGGGATTTTTTACGGCATTTAATCAGAAGGAACTACAAGGGCTTTGGATGGCTGAATAGATCGATTATGAAGTTTTTTCTATTTTATTACTGGTAGCTGGTAAGTAGGAGCCGAGATGGTGGACCAATGGCTTAGGTTGGTGCCATAGTCTAAAAACTCAGATGAGTCTGAAAGGTCAAAAAGAAAATATTTTTGTTTATAGGACTGGAACGCATGAGAGCGTGTAAACAAACGCTATCTAGCGCTGGCCTACTTATACCCCCTGCTTAGAAACCAAAACAATTAGAAGCTGCTGCAAACATGGGATTTACAACTCCAAACAATTCATTTGCTAAGGTATGAACCTCTGGAGCATCGCTGTGTTGATAAGTCTCGATTAGTTTTTACTGTTGGTTTAAGTAGCCGGTAGAATCGATCGAATCAATCGTCCTTGATCCGGTGCAACTGTCTGTAGACCGCCCTGTAGTCAGAATAGACAAGCTTTTGCCACAAGCCAATGTTAGCTACTACCTGATTGTCTCTTAATGGTTGTGTTCTGGCGCCCTGAAGGACCATTACTTACAAGGATGGTTATTTATATCGATCACCCATTATTATTAAAATATATCGCTTGTAAAGAGGTGCGAGGCTGGAGCCTTTCAGCCCCTCAAAATTCACTCCAAATCTTGATTCACCTACATATACTAAGATTAAACAGTTTATTCATGATATTCATACATTTACTTAATCAGTACGATGATATTCATGACTCAACTAATCAATAAAGAGATCTTGACCACGTAACACGATTAAGGTGAACCCAAAACCGTAATCCAATTGTTTTCAGCACAAAATTATACTGCTGCTATAGACGACATAATAAAACGAAGACTTGGAATAGTGCAGAAATGATTAACTGAACTCTCAATCTAAGTAATAGACAAGGGAATGTATACATTTAGAATATATGTGAATTACAGAATGACTGCAACCTCGGAACATTACTATGATGCCATGAGGTTGTAATATAGAAGAGGAATACTTTCTAAAAACTTAGCTCTAAACAACGCATATAACAGCGTAATCACCGTAACCGGGAAGGACTAATATTACAACATCATTGAACAAGAATCATCACTCACATATCAAACTATCCTACGGTGGCGATTCCATCGGATCGAAGAACTGACTTGTGGTCGCGTACAGATGACGGAGGACCTGCTTACAGCTTGGCTGATCTTTCACCAATTTCACCACAGTTCGGAACGTCGACACTGCTCGATTCAGCATCCACGCCGGATTGTGATGGCCTTCCACTGCTTGCTGAAATAAGTAAACGATTATTTATCTCTTTCACACCTGCGGGAATTAGGTAGAGGTAACAAATTGATTACCGTAATAAAATTAACAAAGTGCGAATTAAATTCCGAAATACCGCCTCGCATCTCGTAAGGAATCTGTGGCAACAAATCTTCCAGAGCTTTTTTCAGATATGTAACCTTAAGTGAAAAAGTTCAAATACAATCGTTCAAAAAATATGAACATTGGGCAGTAATCAATAAACTCACCTTCATAGCAGTGTCATTATCCATCAAAGGTATTTTGAAACAGTTCAAGTATACTACATCACGATTCAATGATTGAATAGCCTTAAAAACACATGAATAAATAGTAAGGCCCCTCTGAATAGGCACGTCTCTTACGATTAGACAGCCGATGAAAGATAAGAGTGAAAACAGTTATTGTAATGAATATCAAAATGAAAGCAGAAGGGAAAATTGAAAAACCTGAGTTCTCAGAATCTGCTGCTGTGCTTGCTGTAATAATCCAATTTGACTAACTCCCAAACCACCTACAGGAACACCAAGCACTGGAACACCGCCTGATCGACCAAATGTGGATAGATTCTATAACATAACCATTTAAAATGAGAAGGGAATAATTACCAACTACTGTAACTCAACTAATTCTTCAGACAGCTATCAAGTGAAGGAAAAATCAAAATGAATGAGCAGAAGTTGAAAGTTCACGAAGCTTAGCAACCCTATCAACACCAACCTTATCACGCTCATAATCATTCCATGCTTCCCTCAATTCTTCTTCTGAAAGCTTTTCTTCTTCAACGTGAGCAAACAGAGTATCATGTTGGAAGTAGTCAACAACAGCATCCTTCTTGGTCAGCAAAATTTCGGCCAATAGTCGATCCTTAATCAGTTAATATGCAATGGGGTTCTATTCATTTGAAATAGCATCAACAGTTTGGTAAAGAGTCAAAGCTGCTATGAATAAATTACAGGGATAAAAATTTCACCTTCGGTGGAGCGAAACTCGGTCGGCTCTCGGCATCGTTAGGATCCAACTCTTTGGGATCGAATCTGCAAGCTAATCTTTTGAAAAATACAAATGAAGTTCTACAGGCGGAGTTCTATTTTGAACGACGCTCAATCGCTGTGGCCTACACAATCATATGAATATCGAGAAGAGTAAAGAAGAAGATCAGCTTTTCCTCATATAGTGAAGCTCTTAAAACGAGCTGCTTTTCAAGCCTAAAATATAATTGCATTCTCCCAACCTTCCTCTTCTACTTAATGAATTCTGTTCTCACTCCATTTTCTCTCAAGTAAAGAATCTACACGACCCAGAACAACAAGGATGGTAATAAAGCTGACTTTCCGAGACCAGGGAAGTTCTGGAGGGCAATGAAGTAATCAAAAAAGCCATTCACATGTAAAGCTCCTCAAGATCGTGGCCGTCGTAATGGCGTTGAATTTGAGCTTCGTCTACTACTCTCATAGAGGTAGACTCTTTTGTCACTTGGCGCTTGTAGATTCGTTCCTCCATTGTACCCTGAAGGTAATGTGTAAAATAAAGAGGTCTCAGCTAGAAAGCACTCTAACTATGAAGCCGAAAAGCATTCAACCTTACCTGAGCTATGAATCGATAGATATACACCGGCTTTGTCTGACCAAATCGATAGACACGGAAAAGCGATTGTGTATCATGCGAAGGATTCCAACACGCGTCAAATATTATGACACGGTTTGCAGCAACCATATTGGTTCCAAGGGAGCCAGCTCTTGTGGAAATCAACATTAATCTGAAAACATATTTGCAATGGAAAAATTCAAACCTATAAGCATTATTTATCACTGGTTAAGTCTTATATTATAGAAACAAAACAAATGGAAACTGATAAAAATAGGACTATTCACAGCTATACAATCTAAAAATATCTCCAAGTTCATTTATTCGCTTCTGGAGCCCTAGGAACTATTTATAAAGTTCACGATGAGTATAAATGAAATACTCACCGAGCACGCAAATTCCTAGGGTTATTGAACTTCATTTGCACCGAATCCCTTTTGCCAGACTGTACAGACCCGTCAATTACCATGTAATCCTTACCCTCTTTCCATCCCCATTTCTGAAAATATGAACCGTAAATGTCAAGCAAACGCCCCATCCAACGAATAGTGATTACCTCGCCATCGGCTTTCACGGCCTCATGACCATCGGAGAACCACTGCCCTGTTTGATCGAGGAACTCCAACATCCTTTTTATAAGGCTCAAGGACTCAAGCGACTGAGAGAAGACCAGTCTAAATTTAATTCATGGATACAAGGTAATATCTTTTCTAAAATGTTCAGGACTGACAGCTTATCGCCAATTTCTTCACACTTCTTCATTATCTGAAAGAGGAGAACCAGCTTGTTGCTGAGCGTGTAATCGTCTCTATCAGCTGGAGAAACAAGACCGGACTGGGCAAACCTGAAACCGTTGTAACAGAAGTATTTATTTATTTTCTATTTATTTAAAGACATGTCATGAAATATTTGTTGAATTAACACCATGCAAAGAACATAGGTCGGCTGGAAGGTTTTTCTATTTATATAATCTTAACTGAGATAGAAGTTGGAAAGTTGCTAGTAATGCCCTTTCTCATAATCCCAGCAGAAAAAAACGTTTCAAAAAAGTTTACGAACCATCCACTGTACTCTGGCGGTGTCTCCATATCCCGACCTTCCATTTCTGGGTCTTCTCCAACCAATCGCCTCGATTTTCTTGTTCTATTCGTTTGATTATTTTCGTGATTAGAGTGAGTTTCGTCATCTGACGAACTAAAACTCACTATAAATTAGAAGCATAGGAATGGCTACAACGAAGACTACTATGCTTTGAATTGGCACTCGCTGAACCAAAAAAGAAAAGACTCGCTGAACCAAAGAAGAAAAGACGCTTACATTAAAACGATATCGCTGTCGCTGCCCTCCGCTTCCACCTTTCCTTTTTTCTTTTTCTTGGATGAATTCGTTACAACAACTTCATCATCGTCGTTGTCATCACCCGATTCAGAACCAGAAAGTGAGTCTTCGTCGTCGCCGTCGTCAATGAAGTTCTCCTCCTCCGAAAGCTCTTCGCGAAGAATGCGCTGAAAAAACTTACTTAACCCTAGACGATGCTTTTTTGTATAGAAAAGCCCCCTAAAACCTTGTATATTTCACCAACCTCTCTTTCTTGCTTCTCCTCATGAAGAATAAGCATATACGGATGCGTCCATACGCGTGCGAGTACGTGGTAATCTGGCAGAAGCCTTTTTGATAATCTAGCATCGTCATTAGCCACACCAGCCAAAAATGCTCTATAATTTACGCGAGATGTTCACAAAACTTGCCATTTTTTAACTATTAGATGAATCCGAATAGACAAATTGTGAGTGCGTGGAAAGAAGATGGAAAACCTTTCAGTCGGAATAAAGTGAACACTCGAAAAGGATGAAGGAAGAAAGGAATAGAAGAAGAGGAAGGGGTGAAACGTTTGAGTAAGAAATGGAGGGATAGTGCAGGAAAAAATTGAGGACGAGGGTGTCCCACAAACCGTCCTACCTGTATAGCTCGCATTGCCTCGGGGTCAGTCGAACATTTATTACATATTCTTGCTTTGGTGGGATAGCTTCCATCAACACTCGATAATCCTTGCGCTGTAAAATCTATGTTTACTGTTATGTTGTGAGCACAACCTAAGGAAATCGTCAAAGGCCCAAAGCTATAAATACAGATAAGTTCAAAAAGCGTAGCAAAACGAAATCAAATAGTAATGAACTTGCCCGAGTATCAATACAAAGACAGCGAATACATATGTAAACCTGAGGTTAAAATACTCAACAGAACACATTCTCCGTCGTTTCACTGGACTCCCGAGAAACCCACAATTCCAAAGTGCACTGTAGAACTCACGTCAACACATTTCTTGAGATGCTCGAACAGGACGTGACATCTTCTTTTCATAAATTTCACTTCCAAAGGTGTTGCATCTTTGAGCCGACCCCTGAAAACTTTTTTTTGTTACCCCAAGATAAATCTCCTAAGTCGACACAACATGCACGTACCGCATAATGATATTTGCAAAACGATTAGCAAACTCTGTCTTTGTACCAAGTAATCCGGGCTTCACGAAATTCACCATGCAGTGATCTTAACATAAATATCCATTAACAACGAAAATAGAAAAATGGAACGGTTTTTTTTTCAATAATTTGCCCTGGAGGAAGAACGCTGCAAAACAAGTTGGGAGATTTCTTTGTTACGCTGCGGTCACCGACCCTTGCGATTTTTTGAGAGTCATCGTAGGCTATACCACATAGGGTATGGGACCACTCTCAACTATTACACTCAATATACTGTACAATATACTGTAAATCATAACCAAAAAAAGTTAGCTAACTAACAAATATTTCCTTACATTCCATCAGATTATTCTGGAGTGGAGTTCCGGTAAGGCAAATTCGTCGTTTTGTGCGGATTTTAACCATCGTCCTCGATAGTGCAGACTCGTCGTTTTTCAATTTATGAGCTTCATCGCATACAACCAAATCTGGGCCTGAACGAAAGCCCCATCACTGAATAATTCACTCCGGACTGTTCCTCTTCCTTCTCACCTGGATCCTGTAAAAACTCTCTAAACTGCTGTTGCAACTTCAGAAGCCGCTTGTTCCTCTTAGACGGCGGTTTTTTCGGTTGAGCACGTTTCTTTTTAGCCTCATCCTCGTCGTGTGTCAGTATACGAAACATATCATAACCTATTATCATCACAGAAGGAACTGAAAGTGGTCATGCTTAGCACGAGCAAAATCACCTCGAAAAGATATCCACCTACCCTCACAGTTATACCAGTTTTCTAGCGCAGCATGCCTATCATTGTATGTTTTGAAGGAATCAAGTTCAAGAACCTGAATAAAAATGAGCTCTCAACGGTAAAATCACACATGCGCAAAGTATCTACCTCAATGAGAGCCAGCTCTGGATCATTGTCTTCCAACCACTTTTGGAACTCCTTGTACCAATTTATCACGACATTCTTAGGAACAACCACCAAAACTCTTTTAGCATATTTTTGGGTTTTGGGATGCAGCATTACGGTGTGAAGAAAAGCGATGACCTGAAAACCGAATTATTACTCCCTTCTGGTTTGTGACCCTAACATTTCGTACCTGTAACGTTTTACCCAGACCCATACAATGGGCCAAGATGCCTCCACCGCCTTGTTCCTCCAACCTGTCGATGGACTCAAAGGCACTGTCATACATGAATTGAATACCTTGAGCTTGATGAGGCTTTAGTACGCGCACCTGAAAACAGATATAAAGTAATGTACTCCCATTGTGCTCAGTAAAGAATCGTAATCCACATTGGTAAAAATGAAGGTAATATTAGGAGGGTTCAAACAGATGCTCTCACCAGCGAAGGGTGAACGGAGACCGGAATAGGAGGATCGCCGTTTTTATCGGGATCGACGACCACAGACTGAAAATTTTGCTTAAAATTATGTAACAGCACGCTTCAACTTGTTTCCGTTACTTGATGAAGCACTGCACAATATAAATCTGCCAAGTTTGTATCCCTGCAAATTTACCTTCAATTTCTGTACTGTTTTAGAACCGTCTACAAGCGCTGCTGCAATATCTACACCTTCTACAAGCTCGATTCCATTAAATTCTCTCTGTTTCTGTTCCAGACGTTTTCGGCGTTCCTAGAAACGGTAGTTAAAGACAAAAGATCCTAATCCAAACCCAAAACTGATATAACCTTTTCGGCTTTCTCAGCGTCCAGTGTCTCTTGTTGCAACTTATCTTTACCCATAATTGTTTTCGTGGCTCTACTTCCTTTGCCACTCCTTCTCTTTTCGACTGCCTGATCACTGTCGTCAGAATCCTCCGCCGCAGCCTATGTTACAAAACGATTAATACTATGCCTTTCGGCCAGTATAATCCCTAGCAACAGAGCTATAGTTCACAGCATAAGCCTGATTAACCCCGTAATAAGATGTCACTAACAAATCCCACTTTGCTATGGTTAAAAAGTGATGAAGTAACGAGCACCGAAAATTCTTCGAGTCCTTTCTGTGGAAAGGGGGCCGTTTCTTCATCAAAACTGTTTAGACAGGCAGATTTTTGAAAACATTCGACAATGTGCTCTTGGATTCAGGAAGCCAGAGTCTGCCGCTCACTCAGACCTACTAGGTCAGAATTTGGAGTGTTCAGAACGAACAAGTTCTCGCACACCAGTTTCAACACCCTTTTGCAAATGCTTTGTCTCACACTTTATTTTTCGATTACAGTAACAGAATGTGCAATATCTGCCTGATTGTCTTAACGATCATTGGATCACAAGATGCCTACCCTTCTTTTCTTCGATTTCGGCCTCTTGATAACAATCTCATCTTCTTCGTCGTCTACATCAGATTTTGCGTCTTCATCTTTATTGGATTCTTGTCCTTCACTTGCATCCGAATCAGAAGCCACCACTCGACGTCTAAGGAACAAAACAGGTAAGTAGAAGAAAAAAAGGAAATGTGGAACCATAGAAAATGCAATGAAATTTAATAAAATGAAAAAATCGAAACCTCTTCCTTTTTGGTTGTTTTCCTTTCTTCACAGGAGCATCATCACCAGGTGATTTCTCATCTTCACTGGAAGATGACCGTAGGATTTTTGCTGCTGAAGCAGCCAAGTCCTTAAGATCCTTCTGGAATAGACCACATTGCGATGTTTTTAAAATCCTGCTGCATGTTCTTTTACTTTCACAGGAAAAATAGGACGATAATCAACAGAATACCTGCGCCTTAGACAGCCTAGTTCGTGGAGCAACAGGCTTATCGTCCTCGTCCTCATCGGATAGAGCGGTATCGTCCTTTTCTTTAGATTTAGACGAGTTTCTTCCAGAACTAAAAAAGTTTGAACATATGGAAACATCAATATCTACGATAAGGTTTAGAAGCAAAACAGTCTTATCGATACCTGTTTTCGGTAGATTTCTCTTCACTATTTGCTTTTTTCGAATTCAACCTCTTCAAAAACGCGCTACCATTCGGCTTCTTCATGCCACTCCTTGTTTTACGCCCAGATTTTCCGCTGGCATTGCCATTCTATAAGAAATGAGTATAAAATTCTTACGACAATGAACAAAGAAGAAAATTCCGGAACAAACCACACACCAAATTAGCCTCAGCATCGGAGACCTCACTAGGTTCATCGCTGCCTTCTCCTGAAATATCGGGCTCCTCTTCTTTGAGCGCTGCCCTGGCCGATCGGAGGAGACGGTCAGTATCTTTTTCGTCATCTTCCGCTCCGTTTCTTCCTTTCCGTTTTTTCGATGAAGACAACTACAAATATAGCTATAAGGAAAGTTATGAAGGTCAATATTACAAGTAGTATTCCTTGCGATCTCCTAATTAGTATCTATAAGCACTACTACAGCACCTATTAAATGGAATGAAGAGAAATTGACATTTTCGGACTTCTCAGGAATGCTCCAAAAGTCCTTAATCTGTATCAATAGTCCTTTTTTATCACTGATCAGAGTAGCACTACAACGTTTGCAGTATACTAGTTACTTTTCCTTATAAACTCATTTGAGACTACCAACTCGTACAACTCGACTCGTCGATCTCGTACCTGCTTTTCCTTTTTCGGTGGTTTCCCGGCCTTTTTACGTTTTTCTTGCCTTATCAATTCTTGCATTTCAAGATCCTCGTCACTTACAACATCGCTGATGTCGTCACTAAAAAAATAGGGAAGTTCATAGACCCGATTTACTCGCAAGCACCCTTTCCCCAGGAACTACCAAGGATTGGATTTCAGATAACAGCGAATCAAGAAGCGAAAAGAACGAAGAATAAACTAGTGCATAATCTTGTCGTAATCACCTAATAAGAATAGAATAATTTAAGTTGCCATACTCTGATATCTCTCCTTTTTCGTTATTCGCTTCATCATCAGCGATCGCCATTTTCGCTTTCTTGGCCGGAATTTTCGAGGAAGTCCTTGTTCGCGAACCTATATCAAGAGGAACTCCACGAAATAGGATTTCGCCCGTATTGAGAACTCGCACGTCCGTCTCATCAACACTTTCCACTACTATCTGTAACGAAAATTAACTGAACTTGACAAAGTCGAAGCAGAGAAGGCCAGTTAGTAACTAACTGGTTTCGGCCGAAAAGACCCAGTGCTCTTAAGAAGTTCCTCGTTTGATAAAGATGATAAGGAGCCGCAACGAGACAAAACCGGTGGTGAAGTATCCCGTTCCAGCGAGTCATGAAACATACAATATTTTGAATACGTGATAAAATTCAAAAATCAACTTCTTTGAGCATTATACCCGAAATTAATGACAACGTGAATGAATATTATGACGACCCTTAAATGAGCTGTACGAGGATATGAGCAGGTCAAGTCATTCTGAGGGAGCGCGCCAAAAACTATTCGAATCAGACACGACAGACGCACGCTGAGAGTGTACGGAGGGCTGGGAGAGCGTTATGCGAGTGTGAACATCGTTGACACAGAGACACAGTGTCGGCCGCAGCGACCAACGTGCTGCTCCTACCGCTGCGATTATTGCTGCTACGAAGCTCCTGCGCAAAAAGACCGAGCTGGTAGTCCCCAACTCATACTGAGCCCGTTTCACATTTATACTATACTACTGCCACGTTATACAGTGAGCACCAGTGATTGTGAACACCAACAGGTACAGCACAGTATGGGTCCGAAACGTTTTGTCAAGACAACCTGTGAACCAAATAAATTTGAGTACTGCAGAAAACTAGTTAAATTAAAAAGCTGCGGCCGAAGTGATCTAAGGAGAACCAAAACAAATCTATGACAGTAGTAATTGCCAGGCTCCTATGGAAGTACAATATCCAAGGTCACATCGTGTCCACTTCAATATCAGTGGGTAGCATGAGCACCCTAAGGCATGCTGTTTTGAAGATTATAAAGCGGCACATACCCAGCTGAAATACTTTACCACATGATAGTGGCCCAATTGAGGTTCAGAAGCGTTACAAGTGTAGTTTTTAGATGAAAAGTAATTTGCAGTAGTTTTTAAATGATACAGCCTATACTATCTGCTTTACCATATGCTTAACGTTGTTCCACAAAATGAACCTTTCTACTAAAAGCGAGAAGTACTGCGAAATTGCCTCAATTTTGTACCAGATGTGTAGTAGGCTGTAAATTCAGGCTAGTTGAAGTCATGCGAAGCAAACGCTAGAAGCCGTCTTACTATGTTCAATTCCCAATCAAAAGCCGCTCAAAGCAAAACTCTTCTCAAAGCCGTGTCAATGAAACAAATAGTTAGTGGCAATACATTTATGTACAGGAAGCTTTCTTCTTTGGGCAAAAATTTAAATTTAAGATGCGCAAGCATCCTGTAACTTACTGGTTCCGACTTCAAACCAAGTCTGACTTTCTGTTTCACCTGCATAATCATCCCTTGAATCGAAAGTTGCCAAAAGTAGTGCACCGAATTAACAACATAATTTTTAACTTCTCAGTGTTGTAAATTGAAATTATTATTAAATTAAAAAGGAACTTTAGCACTGAACTGAAAAGAGACAACTTACCTGTGATGTCTGATGCTGAGTTTCCATTTCGTTAGTCACATTACTGCAACCGGCATTATCACCATCATCGGTGCACTGCATAGCCACAGCATCGATTTCCATTTGATCTTCGTCGTGATTGCCGGTGTCAATCGCGGTTTCGACCTCGTGGTTTTCTGGAGGTGAATTCGTAGGAGCATCGCCCTTCATAGGTAAATCTTCAGCACTTTTTGGCCTTTCGATATCGCATTCGCCGGATGGTGAATTGCCTTCCGATCGTTTGATATTGTGCTGTCCAGTTGAAGTACTGTTCTTCGAAGAAGAAGGGCTCTTGCTGATAGCGGCTTCCTAAACGGAGAGAGATGACCGCTTTTAATCGCTTCATACCTACTGAATAAAAACTCCGTTAACATTTCACAACTGCACTAATGATCAATACCCTTTTTATCTTGGTGACCTTTATGCTTTGACGGAACAAACCGCTGTAAACAATAACCAGGAGTAGATGCAAGTGATAATGTCAGTTCGATATTATTCTCCAAATGCATTTCCAAAACAAACATATGACAGGTTTACAGCAGAGTTTGCACAGCATTTATCGGTCTTATTACCTAACTTTGAGTATGCCTCTTCTTTGGCTTCTACATCTGTGGCTTTCTTAGCTACATAAGCCTGGGAACTACACCTAAGAAGACAAACTTTGGATTTTTTGACTTGACTCTACAGAGACAAAAGAGAATTCGAAGAGAATAAAAAGTAAGAATGGTTTGGCATAGGAGTGCTGGTTAGACAACATATGTTCAATCTGTGCCTTGACTTCAGAATGCAAGTGGATGCATGATGAACAAATCATTCGTATTTTCACGCTAACCCACCGCGAGTTTCGTTTTCCTTGGGTCTTCGATTACTTGGCTGTTCAGAATAATTCATAGTTCATATGACTAGCATACATGAAACCCCTAGCCCTTTGATAGAAAATTCAGTACAATGGGAGAAATTTTACTTATTGAGCAGGAAAACACAACACATGAACATAGTCGCTTCAGAGTAAACGAAAATTCCAAACCTCTTCTGCAAAAGCACGATTTTCTGCGTTTAGTATATCTGTCAGGTTCATAGTTTCATTAATTGTTGACGCCTAGAAGAGAAGTTCTTCGTTGCTTTCTGATTAATCGAGAAAAGCCGAAAACAGGTTCTTCAGTCTACCTCACAATCAGCGTCACTTAAAACCTCCACAACATCTACGTCATTCCCATTATTGGAGTCAATGGATCCCACATCAGATACGCCCACTTCGTCCAGCACTACTATATCTTCATCTTCTTCAACTGAGTGGGTAGCACCATTAGACGAAGAAATGTTTCTGAAAAAAAGTTTTCCGAGCTAAAATGCCTCAAAACTCCATTTTTTCTGTTTTCGTAAAAGAAGAATGCATAGTTCCATATTTAGTACAAAGATCAGAAAGAAGAACTAACGCGTAACAGCTAGGTTGGTCCAATCCAACCGACTTCCAGTGTCCTACTAGTGAGGAGTACTTTCGCCTATAGTCTGTACGATATTGCTCCAGTGCATTAATTGCTTCAATATTTCGGTTTACAAGAGGACGTAAACCATGGCCTTTTACGCCAATGAGACGCTTCGCCTTCTCTATACGTCTACGTGCCTGGCAATGTATTTGCTATATTCAGAAAGAAATTCTTGGCTGCAAAGAGGAAACGAACAGACCATTGCGATTCCTTTAAGTTGACTACTCAACACTCCCTCAAGAGCCAATAAGCCACTGATTATCACATCACTTGCCACTTCAGCGTCATTTCCCGCTTCTTCTCTAAAGGAACAGAAGAAAATTGAGGAATGGACGCAATGGTGACAGCAAGAACAAGTTTATGTCGGAAGAATTCCGAACCATCATGAAATGAAATCATTCTTTCTCGAATCACATAAACTGCTCTAAGCCTCGTTGCGACTATGGCATTTGAATTGTACAAATCATGTGTGGCCGAATCGCAAGAGATTTCTTAAGTTTATCATCTTTTTTTCCTGCCAAATAAAAACGCTGTGGCGGTATAAGTTCTTTTTAAAACCAGACTGCAAGTAAGGTGAATCTGGCCTTCTGACTGACTCTCACAAATACAAAACAGATAGCTTTTCCTCGATTGGTTACTGTTCTTTTCTTTTCTTCGTACCATCCGAGCATTGCTTTGAACTTGATATCATTCCTTTTAATCACGAGATTTCTAAGCATAATTTCATTATTAAACTAACGTTTCGACCAGATTCCCTTGCTCAGAAGTCAAGGTTGACTGAAAATTTAGGGAGACGCCCTCTAATCCGTCAAAGGCCTCGGTTTCGTCAGCATTTCTGTTGACGCAATCGTCTTCCCTAAAAACATATCGGGCGTGTTGCATAAGAAAAGGTTTTTAACAAAATTCAGAAGTCGCTCTAAAGCATTGCTAGTATAACAAGAAAAGTCTGCTGCAATACCAAGGACAAGAAATATACGCAAAAACTCACTTTGAAACTGCTTCGTTCGGTATTAGTTGCTCGCCGTTAGTGAGACTATCCTTTTTCTCGGGTGACAAGTTTGCGCTTACAGAGTTCTTTTCCCTTTCATCGTCTTCTAATACCTCGACGGAAGTGTCTCCGTCATCCAGTTGACTGTTAACCATTTTTAGAATGATATCAACCGAAGACATTGTGGCTGGAATTCTTCTGACAGCCTATCATCAAAGATCTAAAGAAAAACTATGAAATTTAGCATAGACGTATAACAAAACACTTTGGAAAATCTTGAGCCACAGATAGTTCCATTTTGACATTGAATTTCCTCATCTCGTTGATTTATTTTGAAAAATGTTTGAAAAAAAAGTTGATTGCCATCTACTTTGCCAACCACTACTATACATAGTGTACACCATTGCCTGGGCATGACCTAAACTTCAAGTTTCGTGAAATTCCCTCACTTTCCAATCGAGTTCATAACTATCACAAACTGATTGATTTAATGCTGTTGTTTCCCAGTACATGGCTTGCCTAGTTTGTTAACTACTGATTATCACCGCAGTTCGCTGTGCTATGTTATCCCAGAGACGTCATGTTGTGGGCAAAACGTTCGGGTGGTCCCAGACCTATTTCCGCTTATTCAGTATCGTTGTGAGGACTAATGGTCACATAGATATGACTTTACAGAGTCTATGATGATCCTTATAGAACAAGAATGATTTCGGGGACTCCATGAATCTGCAGCTAACTAGCATTCCACAACTGGTAGTCTTGTCACTTGTGAACACATGGTTCCGGAGCAAAGGAAACAAGAAAAACTGCCTTAGACTGATAGAGCTAGTATGCTGCAGGGACAAAGACGGTGCCGCCGGCTGTGCAGCAACGCAGCGGCAACAATTGGCACATTGACAGGTTTTTTTTTATTATTTTCAAGTGTGAAGACAGTTTATGACTCATTCACCCGCCTGTTGAAGTGGGTTAAACAACGATTTTTCATCACTAGACCGATTTTTGCACTAGCTCAATCCCTTACTACATATGAAAAGACGAAAAGTACATTACAACAGTATCCTATATAGGAAGTGCAATGGTTGGTAATAAAGTTTATTTAGACTTTTTCTGACGCTTCTAATCAATCTGCAAGCGTGTTTAGTTGCCAGGTTGTTCATTAGAGTATTTTACCGCTGTTTTCTGTAACATGATTGAAAAAAAACACTATCCAATTCAGCAATGAATCATAAAAAATGTTTCATCGCTGAAGGAACCGCTTGAAAATGAACCTGATTCAAGCACAACAACTTCTGTATCACCTAACCAAGGCATCAGGCACGAATAATTGTGAAAGATACAAAAATAACCCCTCCTACGCGAAACTTATCAGACAAATAGAAGCATGAACCCAAAGAAAATCTGCCATATCATGTCTCCTTCCACTCATGGTGTCATAGATCACCCACAAATTGAATGATCCTGCATTCCTCAGAAGCATGTTCACAGATTTCTAAGCGAATAAGGAACCTATCATCAACCTCAACCTAATGAGAGGTAAAAAGCACATGAACGTACCTACACCAGCTCTTTCGGATGATGCTTCCACTGTTACGTGACGAAAATAAAAACCGATGAAGGTGCGCTCGGCCGGAACTGCCTATAAATGCTGTAAGAGATTAACAAGCATTATACACATCGCATTCAAGGTTTGCAATTCGGATGATTCCAGACTTCGACGCACATTACGATTCAATACGCAATTCAGCGACCCTTCAAATACCAAAGAATTAACTTCGGAAGTGATTAGATAAGTTTACTCATTGTTTATAAGTGCATTACCACTGTTGGGTTATTTTCAAATACGGAGAACTAATTTAAGCACACCAACACAAAAAAATAATTACACGAGATTTTAAAAAAAGGAAAAATGCAGCAAAACTGAGTACAACGCCGCACGTTCCAGCAGTCCGTGATATAAACTCTGCCATTTATTCACTTTATTTGCTTTTCCTCAGTGCTGTTTTGCCTTTTGATCCAGCAATTTGTTCATCGCTGAGCAGAAAACATACGCGAGCTACAAAAAGGCGCCGCATCGCGCCCGCTCGTTCAATACACACATATTGCGTCCATAGCCGATGAAAATTATGGGTCCGATCGCGAACTTTTCGCATTTATAACCACGGAACAGGAAGAACGATTACGGATCACAAGGGTGAGTAACCCCAAACACTTAGAATCGAGGCAAAACTTCGAGAAAATGGAAGTTTCAAGTCATTCAACTGCTTAAAAGCGTGAAACTATTGTGCTGTACTCGAATAAGGTTAACTCGTCGACGACGACCAATTTTTTCGTGTCTGTCCCGTGGGACGACACAGTTTCTTTCTTGGAAATTTGTTATTTCTCGAAAAAATGAGTGATTACATTCAAAAACATTTGAAATCCGCAAACCTTCCAGCAGTATTTAAATTTTGCCCCAGATTTACGGCTACTCGGGGTAATTTCAAATTTGGCGGTGATAAATTTGAATTAGGGGTAAATAAATAGGAATTCCGAGGGTATTATTATCTTTGCGACTATTTTTGTCATCAGGAGTGTCCCGAATATTGAAACGGAAGACTCAACGAAATTTTTGCCACTGGTTGGTCGACAGCGACGATGATGCTGCAGGTGGTTTAAACGGCGACGATATGGCTCATGTGGTTGATCCTGTCTTGTATTTGTATTATTCATCTTTGAATCAATTTAATAGGTGGCCGGTACTATTTTGGACATTTATAAGCCTAAATTGAAAATCTGCACAAAAAACGGAACGAGCACACACACTTTAATCGAAGAATGCACTGTCGCGCAGCATTGCGCGACATCGTCCCATGAGACAGACTGGCTGTCGCGCACCATTGCGCGACATTGTCGTCAACGTGTTAATAGAATGATGACTACTTACATCAAGCATAGTAATATTAGTTTAAGGTTTCTTAAAAGGAGAGGCGGAGAATTTACAGCAACGAAAACACTCTGCTCCTACAGTACTACCAGTGGGACCAAATGAAACAGTCCCATGAAGTTTACCGTGTTCACACAAGAAGAAACCGGAACTTACCGTCATAACATGTAAGCCACTGAAAGCACTGTCGCGAACAAGGATCCGTGTGAAATCCTGTTCTAACGAGTAGCAATGCAGCAACATGATAAACGTAAGCGGTGGTGAACCCCGTCTTCCCACAGCATGCATTCAAACTCGGCGCCAAAACGACGATGCAAAATCGAACGATCAATAGCTATCTGATCACTACGCGGATTCGCTCACTGCTCAACGCCATACGCCACGCAGTGTATGGTCTAACCGCGTAGCATCTGCTATCAAGTTTGGATACGCATTGATTTATTTCCCTCTATTTCGATGCGAATGCGATCTTGTATGATTCCTCGATCTTCCAAACCGGGTCCTCGTATATCCACTTTCAAGTTTTGAAAACTTAGCTCAAAAAATGATCAATTGGTCGACTCGTACATGCTTACTTTTTTCCAATCCGACGATTTTCAAGGAGTGGAGTCATATCCAAATCGATAGATGTCTTAGTATCGACGTCTCTCCGATTTGTTCTGAACGCTCTGCGGGAACTTGGACTCTACACTTATTCATCAGTTGAAAAAGCCAAGTTTGCCAGCCGATAGACATATAATTATACGTGTGTAGTGCACGTTTTTCACATGTTTAAAGCAGAAAGCAAAGAAAGTTCCCGCTACAAAAGTTTCCCCAGAGAGAAAAGGAATGTTAGGGCGTCAGGCAAGGAAATCGGTCACAAGAACGATCAGCTAGGACACGAACTAGGTTACTATAATGTGCAGTAAAGCAGAAAAGCAAAGTAATATGAGCCAGCAACTGTGAATTTTAAATTTAAGTAATCTCGTCCCTTTAACACCGTGCGTACGAGTTGTCGCGAGTGCGCGATTGCGAACTTCGGACGCTTTTCAATTTCGAATCCAAGCGCACCCGTTTGTTGTAACCTCAAAGTTCTTTTGATGGTTTGCTCTTGTATCATTGTTTTGTCTCTATTTTATCAATCGAAGTTTCAACTTTTGTTTTACTGTATCGAATTCATGAAGCTTTAACCTAAATACTGCTCGGAATCGCAGTTCTTGTGCTGTTGGTGTCCTGTTGCATCTACGCTGTGTTCAAACGTGTAGCATTTCTTTAGAAAAATGAGTAAGACACATCCACCAGAGTTGAAGAAATACATGGACAAAGAAATGGAACTCAAGTTGAATGGTAATCGTCGTGTGTCTGGTGTTCTTCGTGGATTTGACCCATTCATGAACATGGTTATTGAGGTACATTATATTTTTGTTCAAATAATACTTCCTAATGGTCCTCGCTCTCAACTCATTTGTAACATCTGGGCTGAGCTGTATTTTGAATGAGACCAGATCCCTACTGTTCGATAGCGAAGCTCTTGTTGTGAATTAATTTGTTAAAAGACGTTACTGTTTAAATTACGACAAATGGGAACCCTTCATTTCTTGTTTGGATGCAACTCTTAATCTTTTTACATCCCTAAGTTGATAAATATTGAAATAAATTTCAAGCATGGATGTAGAATAACTTTCTTAACAGATAAAGTTGGAAGCGGTTTTCAGTGGAAGTAAAAATACCTTGGGAATACGACCGCGCACCCCTTAAAATTATATCCTTTTTTGACTTGACGCTGGAAGCATCGTAGATTCGATTTGCAAAAAGTTGTGGTGCCCTACTTTGCCCACCATTTCTGAAATTTTCTTTTACTCAGGACTTTGAGCCTAGGTTGAATGAATTCCTGGTATTTTGTCGTGTATTGGGTTCAGTTGGCCATGATATTGTCGAGATAATCAAGTGTTACATAGCGTTTTACTTTAAAAGAGGTGCTTATTGAGAATTATGTGACACACGTTTTAGGATGCGATTGAATATCCGAAGAATGGTGATCCGATTTCACTTGGAATGGTTGTAATTCGTGGTAATTCCGTTGTAATTATGGAGCCGAAGGAACGGATCTGTTGAGACGATTCAAATGTTGTTGGTCACTGTTATGTGTTGCTGAACTTGAGCAACTTGTATGTTACTTTTTGTCATGTTGTGTGAGGAATTAAATGCTTTACCTTTTCTGAGAACTTTGTTTCGAATCTCCGGCGTTTAATATGCTCAATTTGTTCATCTAAAAACTTAGCGGGATTGTTTGAGAAGGTGTGCCGTGTTCTTATTTCCCAGCATATTACTATTACATACAACAATGACCGCTCATCGGGATGAACAAAGGAATAAAACAATATTTTGTCATTTAGCTGATGCTTTTAGAGCTCTGTCTTCGTCTGGGAAATTTTCCCTACCACTAGAAATCAGAGTTGTTTCTCGTTGATTTCTGAACTTATGTGGGAAGAATGAAATAAAGAAAACAGTGAAATGAAGAATTGTTTCTTTGAAAGTTTCATAGTTGTATCCAAGGTTACCGAAGGCCGCAGAGATCGTCACCAACCCCGAATGTGAACAATGAGGTGCATTGAGTACTTGCCATCTAGTCCTGCTAGAAGTCGTGTGAAACGCGTCCTTTTCGTTCCATGGCTCTTAATCGCTGGTAGTGCACTGTGCTGCAGAAAACCCGCCCCAGTCGGCTGCCTGAATGGGAAACGGGGCAAGCATTCCAACAGGAATGGAAGGATCAAAACAGTCCTAAAGCCTTTGGACATAGATTCCTACATCGATTCATTTCCAAGGAAATTCTCCTCCTTGTAATGGTTTGGAAGAGTTTAGAGTATTATGTAGAAGTTTGGCGAAAAGTACAGTATTCGCGTGGAGTAGACGCTTTGAACTCGGCCATTTCTGGTTGGACATAGAGTTACGAGGTACGAATTCCCAAAAAAGGCCTTCCAGCCCTTAGCGCGCAATAGTCCTATCTTCGGAGAACCTGATGGCCGTTCACCAAAGATCTCACATCTTGTCAAATGAAATAACTGATTCGGCAAGCTCGCGTTCAGCAGCCTATCTAAGGACCCATCGTACTCGATATAATGCCTGTACATGTGTCGAGTTGATACGACGTCGAAAACAGGCGAGGGTCGTTCACCAAGGGGATGACCTTATGAAAAATATGTCTGCAGGTCCTAGAGTAAGACATGACTGCTATTGGCAAGTCTGATCCGTTAAAGCTTTTTCTTCTCATAGGTTCTTGCTTTACGAGTAAAAACCTTTAGTATTTCATGCCCTTCCGATCAAGTAGAGCTTGAATCATGCGCCTAAATTTATAACCCACAGTACCCTTCAATACCGAAGGTTTGAAGGTTGAGTTATTCATTGTTTCAGATAGAAGGGCTGTAGTGCAGTTCTATCGCTAGAAGGTGGTTCACCGAGCACCGAATTTCTGACATTCTGCTACACACAGTATCGTTCAGTCTCAAAAGGTACGATCGATCTAGTCGTGCTTGCAAGTCTTCGTGGCTTATGTTGTCTACACCCATTTTCCCTCTGCTGGTAATAATTTTTGTTTGGATCTCTAGTTCGCTGCCTTCACTTGGTTAAATCCATGCCTCAAAAAAATCGGTAAAAAAAGTCAAACTTTAGCGCCAGTTTATTTCCCATTGGTTCTATCCAGTATTCTATCATTGACAGACTTGGCTCTCCAATATTCATTTTCTAGTGAGAACTTTTTTCCAAAACTACCTTAACGAAGACCTTGTTAATCGAGAAAATTGCCCGTTCCCCAGATAAGAAGCATAAACAGATAGTGTTTCCATAAACCCGTGCCAGTCGGCGCCAGTTCAAGGTGGGGAAATGGAGCAGACGTCTTCACGGATTGCAATCTTCGTGACGGTTGCAGAGATAGATAGGTAGTGCTTCTAGATCGTGAGCGGTTTTAAAGAATCAGTGGTGAATCCCACAAGTGCTCTCTAGGACATGTAGCGTAAGATAAGATGACTAACGTATTCGTGCAACAAACCATTGGGGAGTTCAGAGAGGTAATGACACAATCTCGAATTTTCGGTTCTGGATGTTATCTGTTTATTACCGTCGAGAGGAGTTAATGCCGATGGGATTTTTTTGTCATTTCTTTTTCTTTTCGTATGGTATTCCATGTCCGTTCGGAGATTTCTTCCTTTCTGCTCTATTTTAACCAGCAAGCCATCGCAACATTCACTGGACATAGATAATGCATATCAAAAGAAGTGTGCCCAACGAAGATGTATCAGAATTAACGACTGCGCATCACGTCTGAAGATGACAAAAGGACTTTTCAGGTAATCTCGTCGTCCAGAACCTCTTCGCTCCCAATAACTCAGACTGTATACGTTTACCTACAATTATACTAACCTGTAGGATTAGCTACTGAACTCTGCAATCCGTAGGATCAATCACTTTTCGCGACCAACTTACTTTCGTGGTGATTGCTCACTGAACTCTGAAATCTCAACCAAGCAAATGAGGCGGCGACTCGTTTTTCAGTTGTCGCGGAATTTGTCCTTGGAACTTCGGCTAATGTTATAGCCTGAAAGGCCTATGATAAAAGCGACACTTTGCATACCGTAGTTTGCTCCTTGTGATTAATCCATTTTAATTTCTTCCACCTTGCGGAACATTTGATTTGCGTATTTTCTCTGGGGCTGCTTTTGCTTGAGCCAATGGATCGACTATCTTTTTACTTATGATTTTGCGTTTTCGTCGACAGCGGGTTACTATCGTTCTTGATCCCTGCCTTCCTTCTCATTCCATCTAACTGGTGAACCTCATGAGAACGGAATAAGGTAGTTCTGCTGGTTTCAGTAGTTAATGCAAGAAAAACTAAGTTCTTACCGCGGTTAGTAGGAGACTTGTAGATTTGCAGCCGTCAAAATAGGCGCCGGAGAATTCCTTACCGACGGAGCAAATTTTTGGACCAACTGAAAGAGCGAAGTAGTGTCATGTTCTCGACTGTTCTGAGGTATATGAATACGGCTATCGGAGGCAAAATATCATTTTCATCCGACGGTAAGCGGCTTCACTCAGTAATCAACTTGAGGAATTAATAGGTCTACAGAAGAGGAATTTGCTATAAGACGGAGAAGGAGTCCGTTGTTATCTGAAGCAAGGAGCATTTCTTTCCTGCCAGAAAATTTTCTACCGTGGTTTTACTTATTTTCTACATCTTACGTATTTGTTGCCAGGGAGCTTACATAATTGCTAGCTGAAGACGGTAATGAAACCAGTCCACTGATTTTTCTTCTCGAAATCTTGACTCATACTGTGGAATTACAGTGTTATTTGAATTCTTTTGATCCTCTGTAACCTTTTTATTTGTAATTACTGTCTAAACTGCTGTTCTAAGAACATTCGAGGCAGTCGAACTGGCAGGGGTGCTTCGGTCCTTTAATGGTTATCAACAAATGGTATACTTTGGTATATACAAGTTATAGAGCCAATTTTATGCTATTTAACTTCATTGAATTTAGCCAAGTACAGTCATGATTTTTCAACAATAATACGAGCTTTCCCCTTCTCAGACGACCAAAACGTGTCCAACGACTTTTTCAAACTTCACTCGATCACTACTTGCTCATAGAATTCTAATATGACTTTCGAGTAGAAGCCTGGCCTCTCTGAGTTTCACGAAATGAAGGGAGCTTATCCCTTTCCGGTCGATTAGATCTCCAAGTAATTCAACGTCATTGACGAATTCTTTTTTTCTTTCGCATCCAAATGGCCTTCCTTTGCGTGCTGCCCTTGACGGCATTCGAACGACAAGTCGTATCCATTCTTGCCTCGTTGTCGGTCTTCTATGAGGTTTTTACATTCCAAAATCTTCGAATATTCATCTGGGGTAAAGGACGTCGTGCCGACTAATCTTCCTATGGTGATAACCCCTTGCTGATATGGGATCACTATGTAGACAAGGTAACAACTTAGGCGTCGAATGATCATCTCTGTAGTGCTGCTACACTTACAGATGAACCTCATGCCTTTGCCAGCAATAAAGAGATGGTAGGGTTGAGTGGTACAATTTATATTTAGTCTACATGCAGCTGGTGTCGTAGCTGGGCCTTTACCAATTCCTTGTCTTTCAACAATTACGTATAGGAATTATTAAACTCATTTTGGGTGGAATTCATTTATATGTCGCTATGGAGACATAGACCGTTTTTGTCGGAATTCAGCAATAGTCTTTTTCGTTTCTTCCATTAATTCGATTACTGCGCTCTTTATCGGAGTATAGGTCCTTAATTGGACTTTACAACATTGCTCCTTTTCTGAATCCTTCACCGCGTCTTCAGAGATTTTATTGCAGACAACCAGGCTGAAAAGCTGTCACTCTCTGAAGTCCTTTGTCTGTTCAGTGATAATAGTTCTCATGTTCAGCCGAGAGAAGTAGAATGTACTTCATTAATGTTGGTATATCGTTACCCTACATATACCGCAGTAATGTTATCTCAGGTCCGGGCAGTTGATTTCTCTAGTTAATACCTAGCATCCGGTTCGATACTGTGAAAATTCTATGCAGATTAGGTCACTAGATTTAGGAATCTGATTTAGGAAATCTATGGATTTTTTTTCGAATTCGATCCCAGGTGAATAAACTAGGGATATGAGTGAGACGGTCATTTTTAGGGCTAATCGTTTGACCAAAATTATGGTCCGATTCAAACCAGTCTGGTCCAGATTGGACCTGGTAGCCCACAAAAGAATGTGATATCTCTTTAACCATCTGTCTATAGTTAGCTTCACCTCGACCGGCATACCTGAAAATGCTAGATTAGGTTAGAAACCAGACATCAGCCTGAATGATACAGGAAAACTGGTTTCCGAATTGTGTCTCAAAGCACAGGTCCCAATTGAATATCTTGACGGAGGCTTCTGGTTAACTTACATGGGTGAGGAATAGATAGGTTGCGAAGAGACGTACATTATATTTGCTTCTATGGCTGCGCCTTCAACGAAGGCAGCACAAACATCTGTACGCAAAGCTGCTGCTCGCGTTTTCAAACATGTGTTTATCTACGATCCCTATGTTCCCTTTTCCTTTACCGTTAAGGTTATTGTGTAAAAATCCAAATCTCCGTAATACTCCCGATGAATCGTTTCGAGAATTTTTGGAAAAAAANAAAAAAAGAAAAAAAAGAGGTTTCAGCAACTTGAAGTCATCGAATTCGGAGTTGTTATTCACCTTTTTCATTCTCTGGCTTATTCGGTGACTTCTCTGGCGGAATACTTTCATGATTCTTCGGAAAATCCCATTAGCCGACAGTGATTTCTTGTGAAGGTTAAAGAATCAGCTTTTTAACAGCTGATCAATCCCATTTCATGGTCGCGCCCTCGCATTAGACTTCCATTCAGAATCATGGTTCTATCCTAATGAGTTCGATTTTACCTACGCAGTGACTTATGAGGGCCAGCCGATGTAGCCGATGTATAAGTTAGAACTTCTCTCCTCTCAGTCGAGTGTGGTACCAGTTACCCGATTACGGTAGGCAGGAAGCCTCGCTTGGCTAAGAGGGAATCGATCCTGGGCTAGATCGGTGTGCCATACATGTAGAAACGGCGCCACTTGGTACTACCCCGTGCTGTCTCTAATGTAATAGTGATATGTCTGGAGCTTCTTCAAGTATCTGCACGTTCGAGTTGTACATTGCGCTTATGAAAAATTTTGATTAATCTTATTTATTTTCGTGCAACTGCCCAAGAAAGTCAGAATGGTTGTAGCTGAACACCATTTGCNTCGATCCTGGGCTAGATCGGTGTGCCATACATGTAGAAACGGCGCCACTTGGTACTACCCCGTGCTGTCTCTATTGTAATAGTGATATTTCTGGAGCTTCTTCAAGTATCTGCACGTTCGCGTTGTACATTGCGCTTATGAAAACTTTTGATTAATCTTATTTATTTTCGTGCAACTGCCCAAGAAAGTCAGAATGGTTGTAGCTGAACACCATTTGCAGCACTGTTTGCTCCGAATCGGTTGCCCCTTCTTAGGGTAGGCAGTCAGGCTCTACTACAGGTCCTGGGTCTGCCTGTCAGTGATCGGGACTTTCTCCTAGTAAATGGAAAGAGCAGGATGGTATAGGTCAGGACTCTTATCAAATAGGGTCCAGAATTTCTGCTCTTCGGATTTATGATGCCCTTGTATTCTTCCTAGGTGCACGATAATTTAATGCCCAGGAACCTAGAACGATTAGTGTAGGAGAAAAAGTTTTGAGCCCTCTAACCCCTCATCTTGTTCCAATGATAAAAAATTGAGAAGTTTTCTTCCCGGATGTGATTTGAATTCCGCCCTAAGCTACATTACTTACTTTTTCTCATAACTGCGACTTTTGTCGAAATAACATCAATGACCACTATTCTATGGCACACTTCTATATTTCATATGGATACCATCCATCCCAGAGCCCAAGCTCACAGTTAGTAATATGGGCACGAAAATCTTTATTTTTCATTTCATTTTAACCAGGTCAACTACCATTTTCCAGTCGTCTGTCCTGTCCTAACAAAAATAGTATTACAGCCGTTTTTCTTCGATACATATTTCATATGGATACCATCTATCTCAGAGCCGAACCTCAGTAATGTGTGGCACTAAGTCCCATGATTTGTTATTTCGCATTCAAACAGCCAGGTCGACTATGATGATTTTGTCGTTTGTCCTCTGCCCTTTTTGTAGTGTGATATCTTCTCCCCGAACGGCGTGTCGTGCTCGCCGACGCGATCGGCGAGCACGGGATGGGAAAGATTAGAATTTTCAGTGGAAGGAAACGGAGAGTCGGACTTACTGCCACAGGCCGTGGGAATTCGGGAAGATGTTTCATCACCAGAGAGTCAGAGAGGGTGTTCAAGTTGTACTGAGAGTAAGTGATGACGTTTTGTGCGCGATTTTCAAGTACGGTGCAGCCCGCGATTTTCCCGGGTGCCTGCGACGTTAGGAAGAAGTCTTTGCAAAGCCGTCGCATATACGACGCGAGCTTAATACAACAGCTATGCACATCAACCCCTCTGCCTGTTCTTTTGCATGCACCTGTGTGTTTTTTCATTCATGAAGTCCACTTCTGCTTAGCAAGAGCTGCACATGCATACAAATTTTGGGCAGCCCTTACTGTCAACGGTAAGGGCGTTAGTGGGTGAAGAGAACTAACGTTCCAGCAAAATTACAGTGGGGATTGGGAATCCGATCTCCTCTTCAACTATGGTCCCATTTTGTGTTCACAATGTAGGAACTAGGGGTCGGTTATAAATGCATGTATATTTTAACCTACATGTGTAAAAATGAACGATAAAGGCTGAAAATTCTTGAAGTGAAGACCAAGCAGTTGCTGTAGCTGACTTGAGGAGACTTCTGAGGAAAACGGGAAGAAGGAAATTGTTCCAATGCTGTTCTTTTTTGTTGTTACGCATCACCTCCAACGGGCACCGATTTCCCCTTGGTACCTTAGTTTCACTGCTGCTTATTTGTGTACTACTTATTTCTTATTTCTCATTGCGTTTGATCCTAAGAGAAATAGCATAACAGCCGTTTTTCTTCGATATTTCATCCGGATATCATCATAAAAGAGCCCAACGTCAGTAATATGTGGCACTAATTGGTAAGTCTCATGACTTGCTATTTCACAGCGTAGCAGCCAGGTCAACTATCAAGTTCTAGTCGATGTCCTTTTGCCCTTTTTACTACAGGGAGTCCAGTGGGTGTTCAAGTTGTCCTATGAGCAAAAGAAAATTTTTGTGCGCGATTTTCATGTACGGTACAGCTCGTCCATTGTAGTGGTAACCGCGATTTTCCCGGCTACCTGCGACTTTAGGTAGAAGTCTTCGTAAAGCCGTTGCATATAAGTCGCGAGCTTAATACAAGAAATAGCGTCAGTATCTGTGCCTATGTATACTGTGCATGCTTGTGTGTGTTTTTGACCTATTGTCCACGTCTGCTTGTTGGGAGGTCTCACGGTCAATTTTTGAGCAGCCCCCCCCCCCTCCATGTTTCCAATAAGGGCATCAGTAATTCTAGAAGAGTAATGTTTCAGGCAAACTTAACTGTTTCCACATTCATAGATTGATTGTTGGAAATACGCTTTCCCACACTGTTTATGCCCATCCTGTTATCGCAACATGTGGGAATTGGGACTCAGAGTGGAAGCATGGGTTTATGGTAAGAAGCATGGGTTTATGATAATCTACAAGCAAAAAAAAAATGTTTAAAAAATTCCCCGAATGAGCTCTGCGCGGTTGCTGCTGCTGACTCGAGAAGAAACCTAAGAAAAACGAAAAGAAGAAAGTTTTTCGATGCTGTTCTTACTTGCTGTCACAACACCACTTCTAACGACACCACCAATTTCCCCCTGGTACGTTAATGTATGTAGCTGCTGCGTATTCGACGTTATCGTTTCTCATTGTGCTTGTTCGTAATAAGAATGGCATTTCAGCCGCTGTCCGATTTCATACCGTAATGATAGTCGTAACGCAACTGCAGGAATAATTGTGGCTTAAAATCAGATACATATGTTCTTCACGAGTGTTCTGCGACTTACACGTGTAGGTCTCCGACTAAAACGGGAGGTCAGCCATTAGATCTTCTTCGCCGCCTAAAGGTACCATCAGAAGTATCATGAGACAGTAGAAAAAATTTTGTGGGCCGTATTTTTGCGATTGTTCGATTGCAAGCCATAATTCCCATTTGGACACGCCTGGTCCACCAAGGAAAATGCACCCCTAGGAAGTGATGTTACTTGTCGTTCAAAGCATTTCCTACTCTTAACTCTGAACATAGGCCAGTCCCTTCTACCGGTGCATAGTGTTTCGGTGTTTCTATGCATAAATGACCCTTAAAATGACTGTCATTAGGAGCCAAATTACTGGTTTTCTTCCCAGGCGAATCTGAACCCGATATCAGTCATCCCCGAAAGGCGGGAAGAGTTGACTGGTACGGACCGGGAGTTGGTCCATGC